CTATTGTCCTTATCTTTATTGCTATATTTATCACAACGTTTCTTTTAACATATTGTCTCGGAGGATATTCCAATTTGAAGACCAAAAATTGGTTGATATGTTGCTTTACGTCCGTTAATATCGATGGGAAAATGAATTTTGCTATGACGAAATTTGTGAGTAAGTCACTATTACAAGTCAGTACTAATGTAAGGAGTTCCGTCTTCTCTTTTTTTCCGCCACAGTCCGATATATTTTTACAAATAGATTTCAATTAAAATAAAACAAAATTATGGACTTTATTAAGGTTTGACACTTTTTCTGAGGTTCATTGATGTTTGAATATTTTTTTCTTCAATTATCAAGGTGTCAAATCGATATTACAAGCAATTGAATGAATGGTCATTATTTTTAGTTTATTAACTAAAATTAAAAGTCATTTTTTTTCATATTTTTTATAGTAATTTTATCGAGCAAAATATTTACTCTATTTCTAATCTTGTTCTCTCATTTTTTATGCAACTTCATAATCCCATCCTTTTAAACCTTTTCTTTGTCGCAACAAATCATTTTTTAGCATGCCCTTTGCTGTTATCCAGAATTTTACATTTTTTGTTTTTTCATTCAGAGAAATTCTGCAATAAACGGAATCAATTATAATTCACAGGGACGATTTCTCATGGATATGGCAGATGAGTTATGGTCACCAGAGGATTATGGTCATCTAAATTATGGACTTTTAGGTTTAATCAATTAGGGACGTTATTCGTCGACTGGTGTTATCATTTATTTTAGCTGTGAGTCATACTTGTTCGAATAAACCGTTTGCCTTATCTGAGAGAAAAATATAAATTTAGTCATTATTCAAGTATCGTGCGTTTTGCAATTTATCTAGCGTAAATAATTCGAAAAAATTATTTGTGCATGGTTAGGCTTTCTTGAAGAGTTAATGGTATTGTTTCCTATTGGCTTAACGACGATTTTGAGTTCTGATTAGTCCTTCTCCTATACTGGCTAACAACCAAGACTACACTGCTATTTAATCCAGATTTATGAACGTGAACATGGATTCCGAAGAGTATTTCTGAGATAGAGATAAGTAAATTTCTATATAGTGCCTTGTTTATAAATTAACCCCGTAAAATAAAATGTAGTTAATATGGCATATTCGCTACAATATGCAGCTTCCAAAATCGTTCAAACGACACTGTCTCAGTTTTTTTTTTTCAATTATAGCAATTATCTGGGCGTGGCCATGATTTCTTGAACGAGATGAGGGTGAGGTTTACTCATGCCTTATACCCAGTTTTTAATTCAGAGTAGTCTTTCTTATAGACTAACTCCGAGCAAAATTTAGAGAATTCAGTGTATTCTATTATTTAATCCATAGTTTGCGCTAGGAGATAAGATGGCTATCAACGTTTCGCTTGTCGCGTAAGCGTGAAAGGGTGGAGAATGATTCCTCACACACAAAGCCTTGTAATCCATTTGGAATATTGCCAAGACCGATCGGTCAAAACTGGACAGCATCTGCTTCCCAGATCCTTGGCCTAATCTGCGTCTTGTAAAGATAAATTAGGGCAGAAGGAGTTAGTTATTTCATAAAACACATGACACATAGAAAAAAAAAGCCTTGTGTTAAACATTTCGAATTATGTTTACACTATTTACATTGTTCGGACTGTGATCCTCATCTTTATCGTCACATCCACGACGTTTTCGGCCGTTAAGTCCTTGTGGATAAAAGCTTTGATTGAAGCAAAACAAAAGTGACTTGACCCAAGGAGCTGTGAGTTCAATACCTGTCCACAGCATAGGTGTACAAAATCTTGGAGAGTTGAGTTACTAAAGGGCGTTAACTGGAACTAAAACATCCAGTAAAGACACGTGGAACTAGAACAATCTACCGCGGTATATAATGAAGAAAATCGGGGAATAGAAAGATCGAAACGTCGTTGATATGACATTAAAGATGAAGACAACAGTCCGAACAATGTCAACAGTGTTAAATGGTTACAGTACTTCATCTCACTATTTACATTATTCGGACTATTGTCCTCATCTTTGTTGCCATATTTATCACAACCTTTCTTCCGTTGTACGCTCCGGCCCTCTTCAGGTGGTTGGAATTTCGAACTGAACCCTTTATTTCACACGCTGGGATAGACTGATCTACTTCCATGTGCCAGGTCTAATGGATGTCAATCATCAGTTATCTCCTGTTAATTCACCTCTCCAAGTTCTACACCGCCTTAACCAGGTATTGAACTCACACTCTTTGGGTCCTGTCACTGGATCCAACTAACGCCTTTATACACTGTGTCGTGTGTTCTTGAGGACGTGGCACGTGAAACTAAAACAGTCTACCCCAGCGAGCGAAATAAAGGGTTCAGTTTTTCCAAACACCTGAAGAAGGCCGGTACGTACAACTGCCGAAACGTTGTAATAAATATAGCAACAAAGATAAGGACAATATTCCGAATAATGTAATTAGTGTACATAATACCTAATCTCAGAAATATAGACGGATATTTCATCTCAGTTTATGAATTGTGCAAAATTTATTGTTTTTGCATTGCAGAAAAATTAAGCATTTTAATAGTCAACGCCATAATAAAAATTAAAAAAAAGAAGATATTTTACAAAATTAAATGACGACATATCTTTTTTTCTTATAAAGCAAAATTTAGAGAACCCAGTGTATTTTACTATTTAATCCATAGTTTGCGCTAGGAGATATGATGGCTATCAACGTTTCGTTTGTCACGTAAGCCTGAAAGGGTGGAGAATAATTCCTCACCTACAAAGCCTTGTAATCCATTTGGAATATTGCCAAGACCGATCGGTCAAAACTGGACAGAACCTGCCGCCCAGATCCTTGGACTAATCTGCGTCTTGTAAAGATAAAGTAGGGCAGAAGGAGTTAGTTATTTCATAAAACACATGGCACATAGAAAAAGGAAGCCTTGTGTTAAACATTTCGAATTATGTTTACACTATCTACATTGTTCGGACTGTTGTCCTCATCTTTGTTGTCATATTCACGACGTTTTCGGCCGTTAAGTCTTTGTGGATAAAAGCTTTGATTGAAGTAAAACAAAAGTGACTTGACACAAGGAGCTGTGAGTTCAATACCTGGCTTGGCAATAATTAAGTCGTACATACGGGTTCAGTGGTATTTCAGTATTCCATTAGAAGAAAATTCTCAAGCAAAATACACGCATGAAATGAAAATTATCATTCATTTTCGTTAAAAATCAGATTTAAAAAAATACCATTTAAATACCATATTTCAATTTTTTTTATTGATATATATTACATCTATTTCGCAATGAAAAAACTTTTTTTTTTCATTCTGCACGCATTTCCGTTCATACACACAGTCATAAATTAAAATTATACAAAGTTTCCATCTGGGTTGGAAAATATTACCGGATAATATGTGCGTTTATTTAAAAGAAAAAAAAGTGTGTAAACACAGGGCGCGCCAAGTACTTGAGAACATATCTTACAGCCAGCCATTAACAGTAGACAACCTAACAGCCTGGCTATTTCTGTTTCAGTCGTATCGAGAGCATTAGCATAGCAGCATCTAATGCTACATTGGGAATAAAAAGCTTTCAGTATTCTTAGAATACGCAGATAACCGCAGTGACTCTGAGATATCAGGCTTCTTCTAGATGCCAAATCTAGAGATGGTTCTGAGCTGACCCCACGGGGATGCGTACCAAATTCTCACTGTCCGTGTTGATCCTGCTGATAGTGATAAAAAACGAGCGTTTAAATTATTTTTAAAAACAGGCCAAAAAGGTCAAGTTTGTAGCCCTAGTGAGATCGCTACACAGTAGCAAGGGTTGATCACGGGATTCAGAATCAATCGATTTTCTAGCCACGGTGCTCAAGTAGTGAATTTCAAGGAGTGTTCATCCGTGTTCTTGCGAAAAAAACAAAAAAAAAACAAAAAGAAACTGCTCACCGCCAACATAGCCCCAAACCGGGTGGCCAGTCACTTTCACAGAAAGGTCAATCTCCAGCATTTAGCCAACCCGTTTGACTGATTGAAATTCTCCTGAACGTTTACGTCTGGGTCGTCCCCGAAGGACTATCGAGCAAAACTTTAATACATATGACTCATTGAAAACATTCTCCGTGGCAGCGATGGTTAAC